CCACTCACACCCACTCACAGCCACTCACAGCCACTCACACCCACCCACTCACACCCACTCACACCCACCCACTCACACCCACTCACACCCACTCACACCCACTCACACCTACTCACAGCCACTCACACCCACTCCCACCCACCCACTCACACCCACTCACAGCCACTCACACCCACTCACACCCACCCACTCACACCCACTCACACCCACCCACTCACACCCACTCACACCCACCCACTCACACCCACCCACTCACACCCACTCACACCCACCCACTCACAGCCACTCACACCCACCCACTCACACCCACTCACTCACACACACTCACACCCACTCACACCCACCCACTCACACCCACTCACAGCCACTCACACCCACTCACACCCACCCACTCACACCCACTCACAGCCACTCACACCCACCCACTCACACCCACTCACACCCACCCACTCACACCCACTCACACCCACCCACTCACACCCACTCACTCACACCCACTCACACCCACTCACACCCACCCACTCAAACCCACTCACACCCACTCACATCCCACTCACCCACTCACACCCACCCACTCACACCCACTCACACCCACTCACTCACACCCACTCACTCACTCACACCCACTCACACCCACTCACATCCACTCACTCACTCACACCCACTCACACCCACCCACTCACACCCACTCACTCACAGCCACTCACACCTACCCACTCACACCCACTCACACCCACCCACTCACACCCACTCACACCCACTCACACCCACCCACTCACACCCACTCACACCCACCCACTCACACCCACTCACATCCACCCACTCACACCCACCCACTCACAGCCACTCACTCACTCACACTCACACCCACTCACTCACAGCCACTCACACCCACCCACTCACACCCACTCACACCCACTCACTCACAACCACTCACTCACACCCACTCACACCCACCCACTACAGCCACTCACACCCACTCACTCACAGCCACTCACACCCACCCACTCACACCCACTCACACCCACCCACTCACAGCCACTCACAGCCACTCACTCACACTCACTCACACCCACCCACTCACACCCACTCACTCATAGCCACTCACTCACACCCACTCACACCCACCCGCTCACAGCCACTCACACCCACCCACTCACATCCACTCACTCACAGCCACTCACACCCACCCACTCACACCCACTCACTCACACCCACTCACACCCACTCACACTCACTCACACCCACCCACTCACTCACACTCACACCCACTCATTCACACTCACCCACTCACACCCACCCACCCACTCACACCCACCCACTCACTCACACCCACTCACACACACAGCACAGCCGCCAATGGCTGCCCACCCTTACCTGCTGAACACCTCCATTCTCAGCCCTGACCTGGGTGACCAGCAGGACTTCAGGGAGGTCAGGGCTGAGAAACGCTACTCGTTGGAAACTCTGGACGGGCTGTGGTTTGAAGAGAGATGTTCCCTCAAGGAGAGGCACAGAATGAAGCCTCTGCCCACGCAGGTAATCAGTGTCAGTGCAATGCAACAACAACAACAACTTGTATTCATATCGCGCCCATCAAGCAGGGCAGCCTCCAGAGTGCAGTTTTGGAGGGTGTGCTACAATAATAATAATAATAATAATGATAATCTTTGCATTTGATACAGTGCCTTATCACGTCATTGAGACGTCTCAAAGCGCTTCACAGAATATACTGTAAAGTGGATTGACTAAAATTTGTGGGCGAAACACGGCAGCCAATTGTGCACAGCAGTTTCCCACAGGCAACAACAACAATAAATTACATTTGTATAACACCTATCATGTCCGGAGGACATCCCAAGCCAGACTGAGTGACCAAATTTATATTTTGGAAGGGATTATTACCCCCGGAAAGCGAACTGCTAATCATCTAACAGCCGGGTTCCTACTTACCGCTGGGTAAACAGAGGTGTGTGGAGGAAGCAAACTTGCCTAAGGTTTCATCCGCCGGGAATCTACTTGTTTAGGTGGACATTAAACATCCTGTGGCGCTATACAAAAAGTGAAGGCAGTGTCTCTCCCCCAACGTCCTGGCCAACAATCCCTCAAATAAAATTAATCATTTAGTTCATGGCTGTTTGTGGGATATTGCTGTATGTAAATTGGCTGCTGTGTTTACCTAGAAAATCCACAGTCACTACACTAGGTTGTGGGTTCAAGCTCCACGTAGGCACTTGGAATCATATCGTCTAAGCTGACAATCCGATGCAGGGCTGCGCAGGTGCTGCATTATCAGAGATGCAGCCTTCGGATGAGACGTTAAACTGTGGTCCCATCTGCCTGTTCCGGCGTATGTTGACGAGCCCAGGGCACTATCTGAAAAGAGAAGGGAGTTTCTCCTGGTGTCCCGGCCAACAAGCCCCCAAATAAACTTGGTCACTCACTGTTTGGCTGTTTGTGGGACGTTGATGTGTGCAATTGGCTGCTACATTTTGCCCACAAAATACACAGCCAATCCACTTTATAGTGTATCCTGTCAAGCGTTTTGAGACATCTCGATGACAACAGCAACAAATAGGATTATTATTAAATTGCCGTTGGATTGGAAATAATTCACCATTGCATGTTTGTCTTTTTTTTCCAGTGTGCACACTTCTATAGCACCACCTACGGCAACTCTTACAACAAGGAAGAAAAGTTGCAGAGAAGTAAGTGACAGAAGTTGAAGAGTTACTGCACAGTGTAGTGACTGTGGATTAAACAAAATAGGTATTAAGCCACTTCCCATGTAACCACAATAATAAGTAATTGACCAGGCCATCCTCCTCCCCCGCCTCGCCTCCCTCATCCACCTCAGTGGGTCCGCACTCGCATGGTTCGAGTCCTACTTAACCAAACGCCTTCATTTCATCTCGGCAAATGGTTTCTCCTCCCTCCCCCGCCTGGTCACCTGTGGGGTTACCCCAGGGCTCCATCCTTGGCCTCTTCTTTTTCTCATCTACACGCTCCCTCTTGGCAATGTCACTCTCGTATTCAAATCCCTTCACTCCCTCCCTCTCTGACCTCCTCACTCCCCAATCCAATATCCGGTGTCTCTGCTCGACTGGCACCGGCTCCGCTCGTCCCTCGCACCCTCCGCCCCATCATCGGAGCTCAAGCTTTCAGCCACTATGCACCGAAACTCTGGAACACTCTCCCTCAGTCCCTCCGCCTTGCTCCCTCTCCTCCCTTTTTCAAGTCCCGCCTGAAAATCTTCCTTTTTGACCATGATTATGCACCCCGCCACCCCACCCGGCTCGGAGTCAGGCTCCGCCACTGTTAAGCGCTCTGAGACGCTGCCCTGCAAGTTGATGTTGTTGTAATAATAATCCTTGTATTCGATACAGTCACTTCATTTTACAGTGTGTCCTGTGAAGCGCTTTGAGACGTCTCAACGAGGTGACGAGGCTCTGTATCAAATGCAAGGATTATTATTATTATCATGAATAATCATAATAATAAGATGGAATGAAGTACATGAACCTGACTTGTACAAGTTACATTTTTCTCTCAAACTCCCCCAGATTTTCCAAAGGAGCAGCATATCTACCCCGGACACCAGCCGGAGCTCGAGCTCCCTCACTTGAAGAAGCTCCCGCTCAGCACCTACCAGCAGGAGATCTCGGAACCAGCGCTACTGTCTCAGCATTGGGGACAGGCAGAGACCCTCCCTCTGGCCAATGATACAGATTCGCCCGAGCAGGAGACGCTGGACTCGTTGCTGTGCGGACCTTGTGCGCCAGGGAGGCTGCTCCCGGCCAAGGTCCAAGCGGCCAAGGAGGAGGACGTGGAATGTCGCCTGTCTCTCCCGACCAAGATTGTCCCGATCCCCGAACCTGTCGGGGATAACCAGACCCTCTCGCTGCTGTGCAGACCCTGCACCCCCACCGAGCCCTGCCTGGTAAAGGACCCCGGACCTCATGAGAACTACGTGATGCAGCGCTGTGGCCCCAGGGTCTTTCAGAAAATCTGTTTGCCGGTGATCACAGATTCGCAGCAAAAGACAGAGGAAAATAAAACCTGAAATTATTATTTTTGTTTGCTTGTTTTTTAGCGTTTTATCAGTCGGCGGTGGAAACAGCTCAGCAATAAATAGAATAGCGCATCTTCCCCCCCACACCCCCCACCCACTCTCCTCCCCACCACACATCTCCCGGGACTGAAATTCGTCACGGTCTTACTCTTAAGACCATCACCTCTCCATGTGAGATGGGTGACGGTTCTTCCACTTGGCTTTTATTTCCTTGCCTGACTTAAACAGAAAACCAGTTCCAAATTGAGTGTGAGGCTTCCTGTGATGAGGATGGCGTGGCTACGGGATAGGTGGTGAATGGGTCTTTTTTTGTGGAGAGATAAAGCCTCGATATATGTATATGTGTTTGCGTGAAATGAGCCACTTATTAAAGTATATTATTAGATATTATTATTATGGAATTGTGATATGCAAAATGCATATTAACTTTGGTCATTTGCTCCGTGAGGCAAAGCTCTTTGAAATGTCCCACTGTGTAGTGGTTAGAGCACTCACCTCACAAGCGAGAGGACCTGGGTTTGATTCCCGGACAGGATGAAACCTTAGGCAAGTTTCCTTACTCCACACACCTGTGTTTAACAGGAGTAAGTAGGAACCTGTTGGTTAGTTGATTAGCGGATCGCTTTTCCGGGGATAATAATCCCTCCAAAAAAGTAAACAATAATAATAATTTGGTCACTCAATCCACGGCTGTTTGTGGGAACGCTGCTGTGTGCAATTGGCTGCCACATTTCGCCCACAAAATATACAGTCAATTCACTTTACAGTGTATCGTGTGAAGCGCTTTCTGACGTCGTGATAAGGCGCTGTATCAAATGCAGAGATTATGATTATTATTATTATATACTGTATAATAGTTGGGATTTGACAGTAAATTATTGTTGAGACCAGTGGATACTTGGAGCAAATAAGGAAACTCGAGAAGTTGTTTTCTTTTCCCCCAAATATCTGGACTTTATTGAAATGAAAGTCCTGCTATGGCAGTCATGGTTAATACTTATTTGCGGCCTAACAGAATGCGAGGAATGTTGGATTATAACAGATCGGTTACAAAAAAAAAGTTACACATCAAAAGCAAAAGGCCCGAAAAAGAGAGAGAAAAAAAATAACTCGAAATGGCTTGGGGCGAGGTTGGGAGCGAGAGGGGCAGATAGACGTCTACTTCTTCTGAGGCCCGGATAGGGCTGGCTTTTCCTCACGGCTGATGGGAACCGCTCGTTCCGGGACGTCAGACATGTTGCGGGGGCCGGTGACTGTGAGCACTCCATCAGCAGACAGGGAGGAGGTGATGAGAGCGGGGTCGACCCCAGCGGGCACCTTGTACCTTCGGTGGAACTCTCTCGAAACGTAACCGTGTTCATCCTGCCGAACGACACAAGGAGAGAGAAAGAGAGAGACATCGCTTTGGACAAACGGCCAGGCACAAACACGTATTGGTCAGCGCGCTCGCCTCGCGAACGAGAGGACTCGGGTCACTGCTGGAGTCGAACTAGATATAAGCACATAGCTTACCATTGAGGGTGCTGTTTGGGAAATTCTCCCGCTGCTTGTCCAGCTAGGACCACCCTGCCCATTGGGGCTTTGGCTGCAGGGCTAACAAGGAGCTGAGGGGGAGGATTCCCTGCCCCCTGTGACTGGTCGGCCCTTCCAGGTCCTGCCGATGAGCCGGGCTGTGCTGTCATCAGCAGTGAGTGCCCTGGAGGGAGTACTTCGGACTGATCTGACTCAGGAACCGGATCCCTGAGACCGCCACAGAGGGCTGGTTTGATTCCGACGTTCCTGGCAGGCAGGTCACCTTGGAGCCGGTTCAGTGGCAAGGACACTGCTTACCTCCTCCCCCGCAAACAGGGTCAAACGTACCTGCCGTTCTTCATGCTGGGCTTGAACTTCAATGAAATCCCCCAGAACCTTGACTCGGAGATCTTCTGGTGTGAATTGTTTCACGTCAAGATGAATGCTAAATTTATCCTTGTCGAGTCTTAGCTGCAAGAATGAAAGCACACGGACTCAGAAACAAGATGAATATTTCCCCCACCGCCCCCTCCTACTCCCAAAGTTGCTGAGCTTTACTCCGGTTGTTAACTTTTGAGCCAGGGCTGAGACGAGGAGGTCATTGGACGAGAATAACCCTGAGGAGAATGTCACTGTACATGGTCCATCAACAGCCCTTAGACATAATAATAATAACAATAACAATAATAATAATAAATGATAATAATAATAATAATAATCCTTGCATTGATAGAGCGCATTATCACATCTTCTATTTGGCTCAAAGCGCTTCACAGAATATACCGTAGAGTGGAGTGACTGTATATTTTGTGGGTGAAACACGGCAGCCAATTGTGCACAGCAGCGTCCCACAAACAGCCGTGGATTGAAGTGACCAAATTTGTTTTAAGGGATTATTATCCCAGGAAATCCAATCTGCCAATCGACTAACAACCGGATTCCTACTTACTGCTGGGTAAACAGAGGCGTGTGGATTAAGGGAACTTGTCTAAGGTTTCACCCTGCCCCGGAATCAAACCCGGGTCCCCTCGCTTGCGAGGCGAGTGCTCTAACTGATATGCTATAAGAGAAGAATTTTCCGCAGGTCAAATTTTCAGCTAAAAGGTGCTGTGCGGGTTAAGACTGGGTGCAATTTAGTGTCTTGTGCTCAGCTGGAAAGTTTGACACAGGCGGGGCAGTAAGTTAACCTCTGGACTATATGAGGTGCTGTGGAGCTGGGGATTTGAGTGAAAAGGTGGACCTCCAGAATGTGAGGGAAGTGGAAAGTGAGATGGGGTTGGAGGTGGGGGTCAAGTCCACAATGTTGGTGTGCAACATGGAAGAACTATTAAAAAAAATAATAAATTGGTCACTCAATCCACGACTGTCTGTGGGACGCTGCTGTGTGCAATTGGCTGCCGCGTTTCGCCCACAAAACACAAAGTCACTGCACTTTAGAGTATAATCTGTGAAGTGCTTTGAGACGTCTCGAAAACTTGATAAGGCTGTATGAAACAAACAGATTATTACTATTATTATTAAGTAAAACACGCACAACCACAAAGAGCGTGAAACCTCAAACGTTGACTCACTTTCCTCTCTCTCTAGATGCTGCCTGACCTGCTGAGTGTTCCCAGACACTTCTATTTTTATCACAAAGAGCGTGACTCTGATCCCTGCCGCTGGTGTTGCTTTCTCTCCCAGGACAGTTTGTTGACCAGCCTGTCAAGCGGACATGAGACATTCCTTACACAAATAACTTGATTTGGTCAAACCTGGTTTGACACATCGCATCCAGGCATCAGCCTGGCTCAGTTGGTGGAGCTTTCTCTCACCTCTGAGTCATAAGGTTGTGGATTCAAGCCCCGGTTCAAGCCCCAAAGACTTTGAGCTCTGAGTCTATTTGGGGGATTGTTGGCCAGGAAAACCGGGAGAAAGGTCCTTGCCTCGATCTTGTAAACACTAACCAAACAGTGAATGCAAAACCATCATTTAAACCCAACCCCAACAACTTGCATTTATACAACACCCTTCACATGGGTCACATCTTGGAGCGCTTAACAGCAAGATTTGGCTCCGAGCTGGGGAGAGAGGGGAGGTGACCGAAGGTACTATCAAAGTGGAGAGTTATCAGGTGTGGTTTGAAGACGGGCAAAGAAGGGGGCAAGATGGAGGCGAGGGGTTCCAGCGATTCGAGGTATAAGAATAAGTGGATAATTGGCTTCTAATTTAATAAGCATCAATTGCAAGAATTATTATTATCATTATTATTATTATGAATTTACTGTTTCTTGCCTGCCAAGTGATAGACAAAAAAAACACAAGTGGGTCTCAAGTTTAACAACAACAACAACAACAGGTATTTACACAGCGCCATCATGCAGCTGACGTCTTGGAGAGTTTAAACAAGGGCAGAACCTACCTCGGAAAGTCCTGAGTCCAACCAGTTCGCCAGGCGGAAGAAGGGAGTTGGGAATCTCCAGTAGAAGGGGTTGATGAGGGCGGAGAAGCCGGGAAAGAGCTCGGAATCTACATGTTCCCCAAAATGCTGATCGAAGACACGTGTGGGGAAAGGGGAGCTGGAGAAAATGGGCCGACGAAACCATGGGCTCTGGACTGTGATGTCCATCTCCACTTCTTGTTGACGTCTTTGGGAATTGTGGCAAATGACTTCAACCGAGAGCTGTTTATGATGGTCAGCTGGTGTCCAACTTCTTTATATACACACACACACACATGAGCGACACCCACTCATTGAACTTTCTGGAAAACTGACGCAAGGTTGACTGAGCCCTTTGGGTGACTTCATTCTTTAGGGATTGGTTCATTTCGGGATTAAAGGGACTTTAATCAGACTTGTTGCCTTCCCCTTTTTTGGCAAAGCATCAGCCGGATGGTCAAATGGTCTCATTCGACATTCAAAAACCTCCCGAAACCGTGCGTTCGTATTGTGATGATTTATGAGTTTTCTTGGCGATTAAGGATTCGATGAACAAAAAAAACCTCTCTCTCCCTCTACCTTTTGTCGTGTCCTCGCTGAGGGTTAGGCAAGATCCCAATTCACAGAGTGACGTGTTTGAGAGCTCATGTGTTGCGGTGTCTATGGATAGGTATATATAGTCTGTTGCTAATAGGCTCATATCAGTTACCCTTGAACTCCGTCCAAGTCGATATTTCCAGCGAGACTAAATTGGTGCTCTTACTCTCTTTTTAACTCCTTCGATTGTGACCTATTCCTGCAGTCTCTTTTGCAAAGTGTAACGATAATAATAATAATAATCCTTCCATTTGATACAGCGCCTTATTATAATTATTGTTGAGGATTTCCAGGGATATACTGTAAAGTGGATCGACTGTGTATTTTGTGGGCGAAACGCGGCAGCCAATTGCACACAACAGCGTTCCCACAAACAGTCTGAACTGAGCGGCTAAATTATTATTTTTTAGTATTTGTATTTGTTGACAGAGTGAAACTCACTTGTCAACCTTTTATTTTTTTGTTAAAAAAGAGGACCCATCAAGCTTGATGACTTAACCCCTCAAGGATAAGCTAGACCAATCTTAACCCTTTGGAGAGATGTCTCCAAATGCTTGGCAGGATTTCACTTCACAAGTGTAGTGACTGTGTAGGTGAACAAGCATAAACATCAACTAACGTTAAAGTTTGTTAGCGCTGAAACAAACTGATATAAGTCTGTTGGCTGGAACTTTAATCCTCTGTCTAGATCTTGTCCCAGTTCAGGTTTGATACTGAACAAAACAGAATATTCTAAATCAGGCATTATTATTATATTATATATTATATTATAATAATTATAATAATAATCCTTGCATTCAATATAGCGCCTCATCATGTCGTCATTGAGACATCTCAAAGCGCTTATAAGACATGATTTATTGTAAAGGGAATTGACTGTATACTTTATGGTCAAAATTACGTTGGGTGCTTTCAAATTTGGAATCTTCATACAGTATTTCTGAAAATACATTGATAATAATCTTTCCATTTGATACAGAGCCTTACCACATTGTCGAAAACTCTCTGTCACGGGATTTACTGCGAAGTTCAGTGTCTGTGTGTTCGTGGGCGAAATTGCAAATGGAAGGGATTTAGAAGATTCGTTTAAATAGCTTGCGAAAAAACAAGTTCTACAGCAACACAAAGCGAGGTTTATGGTAGAAACACAATCATGTTCTGTGTTGGAAACCAGGAGAAGAATTTGATGCTAACTGTACCGCATTGTTTAAATATTCTTGTTTTTTTGACCAGTGGAGCTCTTTTCGATTCTGTTTTGCAGGTCTGCGACGTGTTTACAAAACACACATTTATAAGTGACAGAAAAGACTGTGTCTGACTTGCATCTAAATCTCCTCTCCAATGCATGTATTATCTACATTTAGTTGAATCATTATTTTGTTGGTTTGCATACAAAAACACATACTACGTTTCGCAAACAAAACATACAGTCAATTCACTTTACAGTATATCCTGTGAAGCGCTTTGAGTCGTCTCGAAGATGTGATAAGGCGCCGTATCAAATGCAAGGATTATTATTATTAGTCAAATCCTGTGAAGTGCTTTGAGATGTAAAAGGCACTGCATAAAATGCAAGGATCATCATCATTATTATTGTTGTTTGAACTGAAAAGTGAGATAATAAAAACGTTGCTACGGCAATCTTTTCGTATAGTTAGGATCAAAGTTAATAACACGGGCTTTACCTTCCTCATCCGTGCCTTTGACTCCACATGTTAACAGTGCATCGAGTGATATTTTTTTCCTTTATTATTGAAAATAAAGTATCATTTGTCCGTACAAACAGAGTTGACAGCATCATGTCAATTTAAAGAAGTTATTGAGCGATCTGGACATGTCTCTCTCTTACTCTCTCTCTTACTCTCTCACTCTTGCTCTCTCTCTCTCGCTCTCTCTTTGCCATTGCTGAGTTTCCCCTCCTGGGCTATGAGAGAATATATTGGTCTATTTCTGTCCTTGGTTGTCAGTTGCCGCCTTCAGAAATCTCCTCAGATAAATTGCAGCATAGTCTCGCGGATTCCTGAGACTGAGCGACTCTCTCTGATATCTGTGTCAAACAGGGAATCAGACAGACTAGCAGTAGGGAGCTTTAGATTTTTTTTCAACAGGTCTTCTCTCTCCGTCTCTCTCTCTCTCTTTCACACACGTACACACAATGGAACAGAAGACAATCCCACATGCTTACCCCATGAGTGTAGAATACGAGAGTGAGATCCCCGCTAGAATCTATGATCAGAACTTTGGGGAAGGTAAGGCTTATTTTGACTGGCAGCACTTTAGTACTTTACCTGCGTGAAGTGCGCAATATAATAATAATATAATAATAAACCTTGCATTTCGCACAGCGCCTGATCACGTCGTTGAGACGTCTCAAAGCGCTTCACAGAATATATTGTTCAGTGGATCGATTGTGTATTTTGTGGGAGGAACTTTATTAAAATATAAATGCTTTATTCATCTGTACGGTTGTTGAACGTATATTTGAATCTTTTATGTCTTAACCCAAATTCTCCTTGTTCGAATGTTATGCAATCAGTTGAAATATTCACAAAAAGTTTGGAATATTCATGGTGCAAATAGGCCAGAAGGGAACCATTCTATTTTCTATTTTGTTGCCATTTTATACGCTTCGAAACATAATTCTTTTTGGGTCGTCTTCCCCCCTCCCTTCTCATCTCCCATCCTCAGCTCCGTTTCCTAGCCAGAAGTTTGGGGAGAAAGGAACTGTTTAACAGCAAGATTAACAACAACCACAATTTGCATTTACATATCACCTTTCACACAGAGCAGCGACCCAGAGCACTCAACAGTGGCGGAGCATGACGCTGAGCCGGGGGGGGGGGGGGGGAGGGGGGGGAATGGATGGGGGAGAGGATGACCGTAGGCTAAAGAGGACGTTTTTTTTAGGCATAACCTGAAGGAAGGGGCGAGGCGGAGGGATTGAGGGAGAGTGTTCCAAAGTGGCTGAAAGTGTTTCAGTGTAAATTGCTTTATGTTGTACTTTGAGATTGTTGGCGTCAGAGCTCAGTGTACAATAGGATTGAGGGGAAACAGCACATCTATTAGTGACAAGTGGAGTTGAGGTTTTGAGGGTAGGATAGGAATAAAAATAATAATATTTCTTGCTCCTAATCACTGTCGTTAATGTGTGCAGTGTGTATTTGCCCACAAAATATACAGTCAATTCACTTTACAGTGGGTCCTCTTTGAGACGTCGCGAAGACGTGATAAGGCGCTACATCAAATGCAAGGATTAGTAATATTACAGTGTATCCTGTGAAGCGCTTTGACATGTCTCAACAACATAATCAGGTGCTTCTAAATCAAAGGGAATGATTATTATTATTATTATCAAGGCTTGCTCATCAATAAAAATGAAAAATATTTTCCAACATGAAAGGTGCTATACAAATGTAATTTGTTGTTATATAAAGATATAAAGTTTTCAGAGGTTTTCGAAGGAAAGGGGAGAGAGCACACAGTTCAAGGACCTTGAACATTAACCCGTTGGGAGACATCGGGAAGTGACATGTTGTCAGTATTGATTTGCAAATGTTCCCAGTTTGATCCACTTCAAATAAAATAAATAAATAAATTTCACCCACAAAATACAGTCAATCCACTTGACAGTATGTCCTGTGAAGCGCTTTGAGACGTCTGAACTACGTGATAAGGCGCTGTATCAAATGCACAAATTATTATTATTATTATTTATCATTATTATTTCCATCAAATCAATCCTTCCAGGTCTGTCACCGGAGGATATTTTAGCGCCCACACTTTACCACGGTTACTACATCAGACCCAGGATCAATAAGCAATTGGATCGAGGCTTTTCGGCGTTGACAACAAAGGACGACAAGTTCCAAATCCTGCTGGACGTGTGCCAGTTCCTGCCAGACGAGATCTCCATTCGGACAATAGATAACCTGCTGGAGGTGACCGCACGCCACCCCCAGAAGATGGATAGTTACGGCTTTATCTCCAGGGAGTTCACCCGCACATACATCCTGCCTCTTGATGTGGACCCGCTGTTGGTCCATGTCACCCTCTCCCACGATGGCATCCTGTGCATCGAGGCAGTGAGGAAAGGCGAGGCGACCCAGCCACAAGTTTGCCCAGTGAAGATCCACATTGTGCCACCTCCCGCACAGCCTGGCACGGCGAAGGAAAAGGAATAGTCAACCAACAAGGGTGGATCCTGAACAGAAAAGATACATGTTCAACTGACCCTATTTACACGTTCTTTGTTGGCCGGGTTAAATCATCGATAAGGTGTTTCTATTACGTCCGTTGTGTTCTAAGTCGGGGGGGGGGCAACCTGTTGGCTGCCGAGGGCTGAAAGCTCTATTTGAGAAACGTCTGTGAGCCCCATAAGTAATATTTTTATGTTTCCCTTCCAGAAACATAACTTATAAGGGTTATAGAGGTGGGTTGGGGGGGCGTGGGTGAAATTGGCCCATGTGCTGCCAGTTGGACTACCCTTTTCTAAGACAAACAGATCAGAAGGCTGCACGGTCAGTCACTGAAGAGTGTGTTGTTAGCTGACTTTATCCAGGTCAGGATTTGGGGGCATTACAATAGGTCTCAGTGTAGAGATTTAAAAGATTAAACCAACACTTGCGGTACTGTGTCCCAATCAAGAATAAGTGTTTTTTAGGGGGTGGGGGAGGGGGCAGAGGGAGGGAGAGGGGCTGGCGGAGCGGAGAGGAGATGGGGGAGGGAGGAGGGGGAAATGAAAAGAAACTAACAAAAAATATCCCCCCAAATCATTGCCTAATGTCGTGAACAGCTCCTTAATATTGCAATGTCACCATTTAACAGGCAGTTTGTATCCAGACAATAGACTGTGTAAATAGGGTCATCGTGAATAGTGCCCATCATTGGGGTTTCTTGTTGCTTATCGCACCTTAAGAGGATCTTATAGGTTTATTGATAATTGGCTTCTTATTGACTTATTGGTAATTAACTCTTGATGATATTGATGTAAGTTTGTCTCCATCCTTTATCGTTCTGAATTTCCTTTTCAACTTTTCAACCAACACAGCTTTTCTCCAGCGATAAAACACTCAACATTGAATGCCTTTTTACCGTCTCTCTTGCTGTAAATTCCAACTACTTATTTTGCCACTTAACAACGGGAGGCGAGGAGAATAATAATAATAATAATAATATTAATAATAATAATAATAATCCTTGCATTTGATACAGCATTTTATCACGTCTTCAAGACGTTCCAAAGTGCTTCACAGAATATACTGTAAAATGTAGTGACTCTATATTTTGTGGGCGAGAATGAGGGAAATACACAGAACTTGTCCTTCGAGTGAGACGTTAAACCGTCTGTGCCCGGGTTCAGTTGGACATTAAACATATTTGAAAAAAGGGAGTTTCTCTCTCTCTCAGTCGTGGTGAAAGAATCCCCCAGATAATAATGGTCGCTCATTTCATGGTTGTTTGCCAGACGTCGCTGTGCGCAAATCGGCTGTTGCATTTGACCACAAAACACACAGTCTCTACACTTAACAAACGGTCAACAACAACAACAACTTGTATTTATATAGCGCCCTTCACGCCTTGCAGCATCATAGAGGACTTGGCAGTGACGGAGTCTGACCCCGAGCCAGGGGAAGAGGGAGGGGGGAGGTGACTGTAAGCACAATCAAAAAGGAAGGTCTTTAGGCAGGATTTGAAAGTGGGGATGGAGGGCACAAGGCGGAGGGATTGGGGGAGAGAGTTCCAGGGCGGAGGGGAGAACGTGGAGTGGAGGGAGCAAGGGACAGACCGGGGGCTGGAGCCGGCTGAGCGGAGGCAGTGGGTGGTGGAGTTGGGGGGAGGTAGGGGGGGAGCTAGTTGGAGAGGGAGGGGGTGTGAGGGCATGAAGGGATTTAAAAACAAGTATGAGAATCTTGAAGACGATTCGTTCGGTGATTGGGAGCCAGTGGAGCCTGGGCTAGAACTGCTGTGATGGAGATCAGTGCGATAGCTTAGTGACTCATTTAAGAAGCAGGTCGATGTGGGGGAGAAAGGTAAGCTGTGGATCGAGCTTTGAGACATCCTCCCGACATGGAAGACTCTGTATCAAATGTAAGGATTACTGTGAATCTTAACAAGTGCAGAAGGCTTTGCATTCTCGGTGGGTGGTGAAGTGGGGTGGGTGGGGGGGTAGGGGAGGAGGGTGGGTGCGAAATAACTGAGGTCGCATTGATGGGAAAAAACATCACGTAAGAAATACCAAGTCATTGGCATTTGGCAACTCACCCGGAGACTCTCCAACTTCCGTTACTTTAGTGAGTGACATTTAACAGGTGTGTCAAGCTAAATATTTCATGGAGCCCTTAACCACCCATTGATAGAATTGTTTTTGCCCAACCGGGTGTCTGACGACGACAACAACAACAACAAGATTACATTTGTATAGCGCTTTTCACGTCGGGAGGACGTCCCAAGGCGCTGAAACACACGGAAACCCATCACCGTGACCAGCCGGGTGTCTGACACACACGGAAACCCATCACCGTGACCAGCCGGGTGTCTGACACACACGGAAACCCGTCACCGTGACCAGCCGGGTGTCTGACACACACGGAAACCCGTCACCGTGACCAGCCGGGTGTCTGACACACACGGAAACCCATCACCGTGACCAGCCGGGTGTCTGACACACACGGAAACTTGTCACCGTTGCTTAAGAGTCTCCAAACCCAACTGAGAATTCCCTGCCTCCCACCTACACACGGAAATCCGAGAGATAGATTGCTGGACTGGAATGCGCTCTCTCTCTCTCTCTCTCTCTCTCTCTAGAGGAATGCATCCTGCTTCACTAATTCCGGAGAGTATTAGGCGCAGGTTGGCAAAAGCCAAGGTTTAGGGACATCAGAGTGTGCGTTGGGGTAACTGCTGGAGTATAAGCAGCTGAGATAGAATAACGTCCTGAGCCATTTATAAAACGCTCACACCTGTCGCTCGCACTCACATTTAGCTGACCGCAAAGCTCTACGGCAGGTCAAGGACAGGGTGGGGGGGTTGGCGGGGGTTTGGGAGGTGGCTGGGGGGGAGGTGAGCAACAGCTGAAATGATGACGAGTGAGCTAAGAAATCAAGGGCTTGGTGTTGTAACACTATATCCATCTCAGGGAGATGTGAAACTCTTGGATAAACTGGAGATGATGATAACATAAAGCTGCACATAAAAGTAAGGATGATTACTTTATGAGCTTCATAACGGAAAACAATGCAGGGAATTTAAAGACCGGCCCTCACTGGGAGTCTCGCCATTCTCCTCTGATCTCAGACCACGAGTGCAATGCGTTCCTGATGCACTCACCAGCTGTTCAACACTTCCTAAACACACTCACAAAAACATGTGGTCATTTCAATCCACGACTGTTTGTGGTACACCATTGTGCGCAATTGGCTGCCGCCTTTCGCCCGCACGTTGCACAGTCAATCTGCTTTACAATATATTTTTTGAGACGTCTTGACGACGTGATAAGGCGCTATGTCAAATGCAAGGATTATTAGCATTAATAATGATAATCTCTCTTATTCGAGCGCAAAGCAAATGCAAGAATTATTATTATTATTATTATTAATAATGGTGCCGGTATTTGTTTGCGACACCCAGCCTGATAAGCAGAACTGAAATATCTGAGTGTTATTCTGGGCAGACACAGCAGAGAGCTGATGGGTGTAATTGGCAAGCTTTTATCAGAGCAATGCAGTATGTAGGAATGTGCCATGTCTGGCCAAGTGATTCTCCCCACAGGCTGTGGTTTTAATATCTCTCCTGCCTTGGGCTGGCCAGCCTCGCCGGCCTCTGCATCTATCTCCCCAGAGCTTCTTTTCTGCTGTTGCTCAGCATTTATGTTGAAGCTAAACCTTTTCCCTCATACAGACAGAGAGAGGCCTTCACTTCACAGCTGCTTGGCGAGAGACATTACGTGAAGCGCTTTGAGACGTCTCGACGACGTGATAAGGCGCTACATCAAATGCAAGGATTATTATTATTATTATGAAGTGAGAACAGTCTCAGTGACGGTGTGTCTCAAGATCCGGTACATGATGGAAAAGGGAAGGGAGGGTTTAGGAGGAGGGATGAGGAGGGTTGGAGGCTTGTGTAGAATGCAATCATCGATGCGGATTTAGTTGGGTTAAATAGACAGTGTTCGCTCTGTATCACATTATGTAATCCAACATAAACTTGACATTATTCTTCTCCCACTGTATCAAGATCCTTCAAAAGAGAAGACACTCAAAAAGTGTACCCAATGTGGGCTAACAAACTCAAATGTCCAGAAATAGTCATCATTTATAATAATGATAATAATAATAATAATAATAATAATCCTTGCATTTGATATAGCGTCTTATCACTTCTTGACACTTCAAAACGTTTCATAGAATATACTGTAAAGTGGAGTGATTATTTATTTTGTGGGCGAAACGCAGCAGCCAATGGCGTACAGCAGCGTCCTACAAACAGCCATGGATTAAGTGACCAAATTATTATTATTTATTTATTTTGAAGGGTTTATTACCCCCTGAAAGCGATCCACCAATCAACTAACAATCTGGTTCCTAATGACTGCTGGTAAACAGAGGTGTCCTCCTCGACCTATCGGCCGCATTCAATACGGTCGACCACTCTATCCTCCTCCACCGCTTGTCCTCCCACCTCAATCTTCAAGGCCCTGTCCTTGAGTGGTTTAGGTCGTATCTCTCCCAGCAACTTCATTTTGTCTCTGCAAACGGCGTTTCCTCCACCCCCCGCACTGTCTCGTGCGGTGTCCCTCAGGGCTCTGTCCTCGGTCCCCTCCTCTTCACCCTCTATATGCTCCCCCTGTGGTGACATCATCCGCAGACATGGGGTTAACTCCCACATGTATGCGGATGACACCCAACTCTACCTTTCCTCCTCTACCCTCAACTCCACGACCCCCGATGTCCTGACAGCTGTCTGTCCGACATCGAGTCCTGGACGAGAGACAACTTTCTTCAGCTCAACGTGCGCAAAACTGAGGCCCTCCTGATTGGCTCACGTCAGCGCCTCCGCACCTCAGGCGCTGACAGCATCAGCTCCGCACTCTCCACCTCTCAAAGCCATCAGGAACCTCGGGGTTCTGTTCGACCCTGAGCTGTCCTTTCTCCCTCATATCCGCACCAGAACTGGCACCGCCTTCCATCACCTCTGGAACATCGCCAGACTACGGCACTACCTCACCCCTCACGCGGCTGAAACTCTGGTCCACACCTTTATCACCTCAAGGCTGGACTATGGGAACTCTCTCCTCGCCGGCCTTCCCGACCCTCCCTCCACACTGCAGGTCATTCAGAACTCTGCAGCTCGTGTACTGTCCCGCACCAGACACCAAGACCACATCACTCCCACCCTCAC